CATCCAGATGTTCAAAAGAAATTGATTGGGCGAGATGAGAAGCTTACACTCAAAGATGCGATAGATGTAGCCCGCAGTTTTGAGGCAACAAACAAACAAATGAGATTGCTTGCAAGTAACCAGGACTATTCCTCACCAAATAAATCTGTGAATACAATCAAAAAGTATAGCAAGCCACAAAGCTACAAGCCACAACAACAGACAAAAATATGTAACAATTGTGGGAAAACGCATGACATTTCTGCACGGAAAAATTGTCCTGCGTATGGATCTCAGTGTCACAAGTGTGGAAAAATGAACCACTGGCAATCAGTATGTAAATCATCAAAGAAAATACAAAATCGTCCACCAACACAACGTCGTAATAGACAGCAGATACATGATATGGGGTACAACACAGATATGACAGAAGAAGAAACCCTGACAATAGGAACTATTCATGCAGATGACAACCGAGAGGAAGTGTATACAATACTGCAAATTGAACGTGCTGAACTGACACAGAAAATAAACCTGAAATGCAAAGTTGACACAGGCGCCCAGAGCAATGTACTCCCATTGCGTCTATTTCGTAATATCTTTCCAGATAAAATAGATAGTAAAGGTAACCCCAAACCAAACGCATTACAAGGAACAAACATGATCCTATCCTAACAGTTGGGAACAATAACAATCCCTTGTCAACACAGAGGAAGGAAAATTAACTGTATTTTCTATGTGACAGATGCAACAGGTCCTGCCATCCTAGGCCTAAAAGCATGCAGAGCACTTAACCTAATTTCATTACATTGTGCTATAGAAAGTAAACATACAACGAATGCAGCAAAACAAACTGCATATCAAACGGAACAGAAGAGCCCCAACTACATTGATAGTGACATACCTCTAAAAGATCGTCCCCCGATACGAGACAAGGAACATCTACTACAGATGTATCCAGACTTGCTTCGATGATGTAGTCGGATGTTTTGAAAACTATACCTACCACATTCACTTTAGACCTCAAAAGTACCACCTGTAGTACATGCAGCTTCGTCGAATACAAATAGAGCTCAGAGACAGACTCAAAACAGAACTGAGATGGAAAACGAAAATATAATTACCAAAGTTAACCAACCTACTGATTGGGTCAACTCGCTTGTCATTCAAGAAAAAGGAAATGGCAGATTACGACTGTGCTTGGATCCCAAAGACTTGAACACTGCAATCAAGCGGGAACACCACCCTACACCAACACTTGAAGAAATCACACATAAGCTGACTGGTGCAAAATTGTTCAGTAAACTCGATGCCCGGAACGGATATTGGAATGTTAAATTAGATGAAGAGTCATCAGTACTAACAACATTCAACACTCCATTTGATCGGTACAGATTCCTACGAATGCCATTTGGACTCCGCATGAGTCAGGACGTTTTCCAGTTCAAAGTTGACTGCAAAGGAGCCATAGGCATAGCAGATGACATACAAGTATACGGTTCAAATGAAACAGACCATGACTTACATCTACATGAAGCTATGGAAGACATCAGACGAGCAGGCAAAAAACTAAACAGAGATAATT